ACACACACACACACAACACACACACACACACACACACACAATGCTCTTCAAAGATGGGTTCAAATTCGGTTTTTATTCAGCCAACACTGCAACTTGTAATCATACAGTAATTTCATTTGTGTTACTTGAAAATGGTAGGAGGTACAGTAGGAAAATGTTCAAGTACACAATGAATCCAGAACGACTACAAAAATAAACACGGAAAAGAAAGCCACCATTGGTTACCGAGTTGATTGATAATGCAGTATTTGAAGCCGATCACGCTTAAAATCAATACCTTCAGGTCAACCCGTGTGAAGATGACCTGTAATGGAGGTTAACCTGAACTTTGTTGGACACCCATTGCTGCATCAATAAATAATTAAGTAATAAATCAATCAATTATTAGATTAATAAATAGTTACGCATGATTGTAACACTCTAATATACAGTATGATTCAAGGTTTATCTGTGATTACTTGCACTATTTACAACAGAACAATATATACACACACACACTGCGTGCATGCAGGTCACACACACACACACACACCACCTTGTACAAACACATACACACTTAATGAGAGACTAGAGGGACATCTTTCCCACCTCAGTTCTGCCAATGTTTTACAGGTCAACCCTCACATCAACAGTTATTCTTCAGTATTTCCACATCAACAATTATTAGGTGTTCTCATTTCTCATACTAGTGCATGGAAAAGACTACGGCTGGCTGTTCCAATAAATGACATGAAAGGAAGTATGCAGTTTCACCCATATTTTGTGTGTGTTCCTATTTATACATTACATTTAAGTCATGGCTATCATTAGTTGATCATGTGTAGATTGCAGGGGTAGGCAAGTCGGCATTCACACACTGGGGGCGTTTTTGTTTAAGTGTTGTTTTAAACTATTGGTTTTTGTCATAACTATTTTCACACAGAAGGCCAATAAAAAAGCAATGTAATTATTTTTCTGATCCCTCAACCTATCCTTACCCCTCAATATTTCTGAGCTTTTGCACCCAGAAATACATCCAACTACATTGGGCAGTCCATGTTGAGTTGCACCTATTAATAACAACTATAACAGCAACACATAAGCTCGGTTGACTGAACCAAAAGTGTAAACTTGTTTTCTCCTATCATGGTAGCGCATACCTGATCCAGTCCTTTTGTTCTTACCTTTCATAATAAAAGCCCTAGAAAGTACTGTACAATATTAGCAGGCTAGTATTTCACATTTCAGCTATTGTCAATGTGTCAAACCCCCCAGTGTGTGGAGGCCTTAAAGGAGGAGCTGTTGGGTTAATGTAAGGGTCACACAAGTGGTATGCATGTTTTAGAGTTGTATTCTTTTAACTACTGGTCATTTTCCAAAAGCATACCAAAAGGGTTAATAATGTTTCCCTAATTCCAGTCTGCCTGATATTTCACTCCACCCGTCCCTGAAAGGAATGCTATATTTAAGTTATGACAAAAATCCTGATAGAAAATTCCCCACAGGAGGGAAATTGTAGCTCATGGCAGCCTGTTGCATGCACGGGAAAGCAAATTAAAATCCTTGAGCTACATTTTGGAAAATGGTTGCTACACATATGCATTCAACTTCATTGAATACAGTGCTTGACAGGAAAGAGGTACATTTTTCAGAACAGGAATGGATTGTTGTTTTTGTGCACCGTCTCACCCGATCCACTGCCTGAGAGCAACTGTGGCTGGAAGGGGGCTCCCCCCCCTTGAGTGGATCCTCCCATGTTAGCATTGCCTGTTAGGCGAATCCCTCCAAAGACACTGGACTGACCCATTCCTGTTCCCAATAAGAGGGGGTCTGCCAATGGATTCCCCAGAGGTCCAGACTGCACCACACCTCTAAAGAGGGGGTTCATGTTAAGCTCCATGCGTGGACTCCCTCCGACAGAAGGTGATTTTACCATTCCAGTTCCTGAACACAGAGGAGCCACCTGAGCTTTTTGAAGCATATTTAAGCCAGGATGAGACACTCCCATGGTATGTGATGGTGGCCGAAATAAGGGAGTTTCCCTGGCAGGATAAGCGGCTTCAAAATTTGGAGTAGGTGCGACAAAGGACGGAGCAAAGGAGGGACCGAAGGGACTGCAGTATGGGGTTGATGTTTCAGGAAGGGACAGTCCAGCAACAGCCCCTGATCTGACCACAGGGCCGGATGTCATGCCCCTGGCTTTGAAAGCGCCTGTGAAATAAGTAGGAGTAATAGGAGGATGGAGAAATGGGGGAGGGATATATAGTTTGAAGTATTCCAGCAAAGAAATGCACCAGAGCAGAGAGAGGGGTGAGAAGAGTTAAATATCTGCTGGTTTAAATACACTAGTCTATATACTGTACTCCAAAAGGTCACACACACACACACACACACACACACACACACACACACACACACACACACACACACACACACACACACACACACACACACACACACACACACACACACACACCATTACAAATTATACAGTGACACCACAGGGTAGGGGGTTGGTTGGTCCAAAACACATTTTCATACAAACCTATTGATAAATATGTATTTGTCGCTCATACTGTCCCCCACCCCTCTCTCAGTCTCCCTCTCTGAACTGCAGCTGAAGAGTAGTGGAATACATTTGAAACATCACAGAGGAATTACGGATTTTTATCATCTCAGTGGTTTTTCAGTCTTTGGGGTTGACCATGCATCCATTAGAATCAAGCGCACCACAGATAATTCCACATGAAGCCTTCGTCAAAGATGTTGATTTTCACCCATTCTGAAGCATTTTTTCTGTCCTTACCGATGACTTGTGTTTGGGTGACGAGCGTGTTGACGAAGGGGCTCTGGTTGGGTTTAGGGTTAGAAGAAAATAGATCGTCCAAGTCAACAAGCGACGCCCCTGCAGAGCCCAGAAACGAAGCAGTCTTTTTATACGAGTTCTCTTCCAGCGCTGTTCGATTTCCTGCAATACAATAAAGGTCCAATTCTACTCTAAAAGGTGTTTTCTTTTGGTCAGGGAGGAAGAGAAAGCAAAGCGGGAAAGAGAAGTTAAATTGATTAAGGTTGTTAGCGAACTGCTGAAAGATGGAGAGATGGAAGGTGAAATGGAGGACAACAGTCACATGCAAATGACCATAAGGTGTACACAAGAAAAGCGTATTCATACATGAAGGTAAAAAAGTTACGTTGTTAGAATCACCATTCTCAGTCAAGCACTAAGCCAGTTGGCATAGAATTTGCTCGATTGAAATCAAACATACATTTTAGCAGACTACGCAGCAGAAAGATTATGTTGATTTAATCAGAGGGGAGGGTTTTAATTGCTGAGTACAAAGAAACCAATGAGGTTTTAGTCTCATGAATAATGGAAGAATCATAGGAATAAATGTTCTGCAGACTCAGAGTGTAAAGAGTGTTGTACCTGTCCCGTTAGATGCGTTGCTCGGTGCACCCCAAGGATCGCTTTTTTTAGAAGCTCCGTCTCCAAAGGGGTCACTAGGTGTGGAGGAGTCCATGGGGGGAGCGGGTGATCCCCACGCATCATCTGTGCTTATTGTAGCTGCAGCTGAACAAAGAAATAGAGGAAAAAGCCAAGCATTTTAGTCTATTGGCTTTTTCATCCAATTGGAAATGGCCAAAATGTCATCATGTTAACTTGGAAAGCAACTTCAGTTACCTTACAAGTTGCATCTAGGGGTAATCTTTGAAATACATATTTGCTGTTCTCACCTGGGGCTCCCCAAGGGTCATCGTCCAGTTTGGATGCATCTCCAAATGCATAGGAATCCTCAATTGGTGAGGAGGCGCTTGTTCCGTCATCCCAGGGATCTCCGCCTTTTGTTTCCTTTGGAGCAGATGGCGCCCCCCATGGATCAGCCTTGCTGGAGGGTGGGGAGGTAGCAGGGGCTCCCCACGCATCTGCACTCTCTTTGGGCGAGCTCAATGGAGGGTCATTGAAGGGATCTGAGGCATCATCTTTTGGTGGAGTGGATGGCACTCTGAATGAGTCCTCTTTAGGGGGTGTCGTTGGTGCACCGAAAGGGTCCTCTTTGGCTGGTTCGGATGGTGCAGAGAAAGGATCCTCTTTGGGTGGTGTTGTTGGAGAAGCAAATGGATCCTCTTTTGAAGGTTTGGACGGGGAAGAGAAAGGATCTTCTATAGGTGATGTCGTGGAGGCAGTAAATGGGTCACCTTTAGATGATGCTGGTGCAGAAAATGGGTCTTCTTTAGGGGGTGTTGATGCTGGTGCAGTGAAGGGATCATCCTTTGGAGCATTGAATGGATCATCTTTCGGAGCATTAAATGGATCATCTTTCGGAGCATTAAATGGATCATCTTTCGGAGCATTGAATGGATCATTTTTCAGAGCATTAAAAGGATCATCCTTTGGAGCAGTGAATGGATCCTTTTTCGGAGCATTGAATGGATCCTTTTTCGGAGCATTGAATGGATCCTTTTTCGGAGCATTGAATGGATCATCTTTCAGAGCATTAAATGGATCATCCTTTGGAGCAGTGAATGGATCCTCTTTCGGAGCATTGAATGGATGATCTTTCAGAGCATTAAATGGATCATCCTTTGGAGCAGTGAATGGATCATCTTTCGCAGCATTGAATGGATCCTCTTTCGGAGCACTGAATGGATGATCCTTTGGAGCATTGAATGAATTATCTTTTGGAGCATTGAATGGATCCTCTTTCGGAGCGTTAAATGGATCCTCTTTCGGAGCATTGAATGAATGATCTTTTAGAGCATTGAATGGATCATCTTTCGGAGCGTTAAATGGATCAACCTTTGCACTGTTGAAGGGATCTACTTTTGGGGTATCTTTTGGAGCAGTAAATGGATCTCCCTTATCCTTGCTTGCATTGAAGGGGTCTGAACTATCTTTTGGTGCGTTGAACGGGTCATCATTCAACGCATTAAATGGATCTGGTTCATCTTTTGGAGCCACAAAAGGATCTTCTCCCTTCTTTGGCACATCAAATGAATCTTCATTGGTTTTTGGTGCTGAAAACTGATCTTCATCAGTTTTTGCCCCCCATGGATCTGTGGTGTTTTTAGGTTCGTTGGAGGCTCCCCATAGGTCTGGTTCTACCTCCTTTTCCTTCTCCTCCTCTTTCTCCTCTGATTTCTCTCCTCCCCAAGTAGCTCCTTGAGCATCATTGCCTTTGCCGGCATCCTCCCATTTCAGCTCATCTTCACTCATCTTGCCCTGGGATATAACAATTGAAAAAATAAGAGAAGTAAAAGTTAAACTATTACAAATAGCTTCATCAGTGGTATGTCTAAATAAGTCCAATTGACAGAAAATATTGAACTTGTTTTTTTAAGAAGAGTAATTAACTGCAATGGGTATATGTTTGTAAAAAACGCTTTATTCGGATTTCAAATGCTCCATTGCTCAACTGATTCTTGCCTTCAAAAACTGTGTTATAGAATGTTGAGACCTTGTCAAAGGGATGTACATACAATGTTTTAGGATATGCTTTGTAGTATTGTTATATCTGACCGCATTATATTGCACTGGTGTAGTATTTAAGTGTGTGTACTTGCTGCACCAGAGTATTCTACTAGCTTAACGCTTACCCTCCTCTCCATGTCTTTCTTCTCAGCTTCCTGTTTAATACGCTCCTCTTTGCGAGCAGCAAAGGAAGCAGTCAAGTCAGCCACAGAGGGTATGTTGTCTAAAGATGGAAGCCCAGAGGTCCCGGCAACGTAGCATGGCTTGTAGTTGGGATCCTTGACTACGGCCACTGATGAGGCTGGTTGCAAGGGATGGAGAAAAGGTTGAATACAATTTGTGTTACATACCAGTGTTTCCCCTATATACAAATAGTGAGCGCCGCTGCTAGGGGGCGCCAGCCAGGTACCCAAAAAAAATAAATAAAAAAATATTGTTTTACTTTTTTTTTTTTTCTTAAAATAATAAGTGGCGACCCTTTTTCATTTTTGATTGTTTGTTATGTAGATTTGTAGTATTTGTGTTACTGGCATAGGGCGCCAGATCTGGTGGGCACTGCGCTGGTAGCTCTGGGAGGGAAAAAACATTTTTGACCGTTGCCGCTCATCCAAATGTTCGGCCTAAGATATATAAGATATGAATGAACAACAAAAATAAAATAAGCTACATTTATTTGTTATTGGCTATGGTAGGTTATTGGTTATGTTCACATACTTATTTGATTATTAAAATGTAAACCAATCTTTTTCATATGGGCGTTTTAGAGTTGTACCCCCTAGATCAGGGGCCGTATTCACAAAGGATTTTAGGGCTAAAAGTAGCTCCTAACTGGCGAATTTAGGAGAAACTCCTAAGCATAATGGGCGTGTCAGTCTTAAATTTAGGACTCCTAATTGTATTCACTAAGAGCAATTCACAAAGTATTTTAGGCCTAAAAGTAGCACCTAAGTCTGGGAGAGCTTAAAAGTCCTCGAGAGGACTCCTAACTCAGTAAGACCTATTCACAAAGAATCTGAAAATGGCTGAGAGACGAAATGTTTTGGAGACAATGGAAGATTGTGAATTGATCAAGAGATATAGGCTAAATCGTGAGGGTATCAAACTTGTTGTGGAATTAGTGCGGGATGCAATAACATCCCCGACTAACAGGAATAACCCGATTAGTCCGGAAATAAAATGTTTGGCAACACTACGATATTTAGCAACAGGGAAAATGCAACTTTGCAATGCCGACGATTTAGGAATATCGCAACCATCAGTCAGCTGTGCCATAAACCAAACCATCAACGCGCTCTCTAGACCACATATCATCCAACAGTTTATCCGGTTTCCTTTGGACAATCAACAACTACACAGGATCAAAGCCAACTTCATGGCAATGCAGGTATGCCCGGTGTGGTCGGTGCTATTGACGGGACGCACATAAAAATAATTGCGCCATCAAAAGATGAGGACGTGTTCGTCAATAGAAAGAAAGTACATTCCATCAACACGCAGATTGTTTTCATTCATCATGATAGGGGGACTTGAACGGCGGTATGGGCTGTTATTGAAAGTGTTTAAGTGCTGGAGATATGCTCATTGGATAATAGTTTGCAGGGTGCTTTTAATTGCC